CAATAGAAGTCCGTTTAGACAATGTACTAGGCACGACGTTTTGTTAGCTTTATATATTTGTATGTTATTTTAGCTGTCTAAGATACGAATAGTTGCGTTGAATACTGATATGTGCTAGTCATGGGTAACCCATGGTCTTTTATCATAGTTAACCGGATGTGGTAGCAACGATTTGCATAGCCCATTGTAATTCGAAAATACAATCACTGACCATAATTGACCTCGAATTATGCTTGCCTCAGGGAAATTAGTTAATAATGCACATACATGATATTGTAATATCCTTCTGTCTCGTTGTCGATCTTCCAGCTTCTTCCTTCCGCTATAAACGCGTACGACTCATCAATTTAATTAACTGATTGACAACTTCTATTCCTTCCGTGACAAGTCATAACGGTCACTTCTCTTCGTCATGTACATTTCTGTTATTTTGTTTCTTCCTGATTTGCCTTAAAAGTTTTATCTTCTTAAACGAAAGAAAGCTAAATAGAAGTATTTAATAGTACTTTGTTATTAAATATTTATTATGCTAGTGAAGTTTACACTTTTAAGGCAGCCAAGTTTAATCATAACGATTTCGGTCCTATAATCATATGTACGTGAACATGTTCAGCTGAAATATGGCCTGCCGACCAACTTTGAATGTAAATATTCAATAAACACACGAGGTACTACGCACACAAGTTCAAAGTAATATTACGTTATACCTAATACCTACCGTCGTGTATTATTGTTTTCAACAATAATTTGAAATAATTATAGATACTATTATAATAATTACATTGAAAATTATGTTTAACACTCGTCTGCTTGTTATTACGTGTACGTGTTGATTATTAACGATAAATATCATTTTGAATTAAAACCGCCTAAAAGGTATTGCGAAAAATTTTATAATATACTGAATGTGTCTCTAGATTTATTTTATAAACAAACTAATGGCTCTTGGCTGGTTTTTTACGATTTTTAGACATTTTTGCGAGAGGATTGTTATGCAAATCACCGTCTTACGTTACATAATGAATTTACCATTACGTTTATAATGGACACGTGAAACGAGATCGGTAGAAAAATAGAACGACCTGTTTAATAGATGTGATCTCTTTCAGAGCCGTGGTGACAGCAGTTTCCTGGCATCCTCACGGTACCTACCTTGCATCGGTGGACAGGGCAAAAATGGTAACAGTCTGGGGCGACCATGTTTAACAAAACGTTTGACTCTGAGATTAATTATTTCACCTACTGGAACCTATGATCAGTGCCAGAATTGTTCTCTTCTGCCGTTCGTAGAATTAAAAAAGCAAGTTCAGATTATACGAGTGCTGCTAGAGGTGTACCTACGTGCCGCGTGCGTAAACAAAGGATACACCGATGCAGGATTATAAAAATCGGTGGGCGGTCCAGGCGCTTAGCCCATAAAGGGATACTATGGCATTTCGAAATTCTACAAAGCGAAGATGGCCGAATGAATAAATTCACAACCGCGGTAGAGATTATTGTACATAAAACTGAGCTGACTGTTGCCGGAAGGTTGTAAAGATTTCCTTTTTTAGGGTAATGCTTACCTGCGCGCCGCGACCGCCTCCCGTCGCTCCAGAAATTCAACGGATTATCGTCGTTATCATTTTCAGATTCGCTAGATTCAACCGTTTTACTTTTAAGAGACTATTTTCGCGTTCCAATCGTCTCTGTCGGCAGCCGTGATTGCTCGCGTTGGATTGCTTTGCGGGAACTGTAAAAACACGGGGTTCTTTACGAGTCACCTTCGCCCCGGCCACGTTCATTTCTAAAAGTGTTAGTCGACTTTTGAACTTTTGTACATTACGCACTCGAAAATATAAGAATATGTATATTCTCGTATATGTCCTATAAATGGGAACGTATACCG